CCCCCCGCGGTATTTTGTCACAAAGGACGAGCGGCTGACGGGAGGCGGCGTTCGGACGCTGGCTGAGGGAAGGTGGCGGCCGCCTGTGCTCTCATGTATTTCTTTGAAAAGGTACCCAAAGAGCAGCTGAAATGAAACTCGGTGTCTGTCATTAACAATTTCAGGAAATCCCTTACCCAGGGTTAGCGGCAAAATAAACATGTCCATGGAGTCGGACTCTCTTTCAGGTGCTGGGGTAACAGTCACAGCCACTGCGGTCAAAGGCTTTCTCAAGATGCAGTCAGGGACCACCTGCACTGGAATCACCCAGAAAGCTGATCGAAAACAGATTCGAGGGCCCAGCCCAGCTCTGCCGACTCAGAACCTAAAACTGAGCACGCCCTCGCCACCGTGGCCGTTCACTCCGGACATGGGGCAACGCCCCGCAAGGCAAGGACCTACACGGCGGCAGGGGCTCTGCGTGCATCCCTCATCCTCACGCCGCCTGCAGGACTATGCTCCAGCCGCATGTCACCGGAGGGAAGGGCCTCCCGGCTGGAGGCCCAGCGCCTGGTTCTGGTCTGAGCGCTCACGAGGGGCGGGGCCCAGGGCAGGGGCACGGACCACGCCCCCCGAGACTCCCACCTAGAACTTCTCTCCGGGCTGAGACAGAGGCAAAACTGAAGTCCAGCAGCAGGCAGTCCCGGGCTGGGCGGGCGATGCCACAGGGACCGCCATCAGGTGCACCAGGACGCAGGGGGCACAAACCCGCCCACGGTACCACGTGAGTTCTTCCTGTCCCTGGGAAACCCTGTCCCTCCGCTGCCACTGGAAGCACTGATTGTGGACACACGTCTACATCTGGAAAAGCCAAGCAAAACAGGACCCTGCTCACTAAGCTGCCTCCCCTTCCTTCCTGCCTTTCCTGAGCTACACGGGAGCCACGGAAGACGCCAACTGTGCCTGCCGCCTACCACTGCAGCTGCTGCTACGAGCTGGGGGTGTGGGGCGGCCGCAGCCCCCTCAGCAGCTGTGGTCCCTTCTCACTGGGACTTGACCCTCACTCTCCCCAGTCCTGCCACTCTGCCCACCCCACTGGGAAGGGCTCATACCCCATGGGCTTCTCCCTGGCCAGGCTGGAGCCACTGCGCACACATCAGGGAGCTTGGGTTTCAGGGGCTGCATGCTGGCCACACTCTGAGATGACCCTGGCCACCTACCAGTGTAATCGGCCCCAAAAAAGGAGAGGAGTGGGGCTCACACGCCAGCACCGCATTCCTCGCTGCCGCCCGACTGCATGGTGGGCGTTATCTGGCCTTGCACAGCTGATATGGCCTCATGGAGATGCCACGTGCCACCTCAATGGGGGATTAAGGCAGAGAATTTGAGGTCAAGGGTTTAGGTGGAACCAGCTTCTATTTATAAAAACAAGCCTCTGGGGGAAAGAGACGGGCAGGAGACGGGCTCAGTCTGCATGACAGTCTACAGGATGACATGCCAGGCACAAGTCACTAGTCACGTTGCTCCCTGGCAAACAAGGCCTCCGTCATGAGCTTTCCCATCAAAATTTGAGTTCCTCTGTCTCAAGATGGCCCTTGTGTATAGACTAAGCAGCTCTAGGTGACAGGAGCAGCCCATGCCTGGCTGTGTGTGTCTCAGGGACTGTCCCCTGCTCCACGGCTGTAAGGCCTTGTGGAGAACAGGTGGAGACAGGCTCTGCAGTTCCACAAGGACCAACAAAGGCACACGCTGGACTCCTGAAGTCCACACTTGCTAAAGAGGCAGATGCTTGAGTTCATGGATGTGCGGATAGACCACACTCTTCTCATACACCCCACATTCCGAGCAGGGCTCTGGAAACACAGGGGTGCTGCATGAGACACTCCTGTGCAGATGGGCGGGAAAAGCCACTGACTCTACACCCAGTTCCAGTCCTGGGATCGAAGCCCACAGGACTGCGGCTGCGATGGGCACAACCGGCAGCCAGGATGCAGCACAGGGGCCTCGGTGAGGCCCACACAGACACTGTAAAACATTTCAACATACTTCCCAGTGGGAGAAAGTAAACAAGCTCCTTTTCCAACATCCCCTGCTAATGGACTGGCCGGAGTGCGGGCCTATGGGGGCCAGGCAGGTAACAGATCCCACCTATTCTGGATGCGAGGCAGCCCTCGTTCGTCAGCACCTGTCAAATCGCTGGCCTAAGAAATAATGTGCCCAGACATGAAATATGGCACGACAGGCACCGCAGTAAGACAGATTCCAACCTCTCGCCAGCCTCGCCAACGCTTCAGTGTGGTGCGGGGAAGCAGCAGCATCTCCCTGACTCCTGGGTCTACCCGGGCGTTATCTGCACTGTGGTTAGCAGACAGTGGGCCAGGTATGGTCACCAATGCCACAGCTACAGCCCCTCTGAGACTCTGCTGACACCTGTGCGAATTTCTTCCCTGCCACCCAACCAAAGCTGGCACTAAAGGGCCTGATATCCAACAGCAACAATGACACAAAAGGGGGCAGGAGTTACTGCCTCAGAAAGGGGGCGAGGGGGCCTCCCCCTCTGCGGAGCGCCCGGCCTGGGCGGACGGGAGGCGGGAGGCTGTGCGCCGACACCGTGCTCGCCCCTGGAGACGTCTACTGGCCCAGGAGAGGCTGCGCCGGTTCCTCAGAGCCGCAGAAGCGAGGAGACCTCTGTCCTCGGCTGTGACGTGAAAAACCCACTTACATTCTGTACGCAAATGAACCAGTTTAATAGGGGTGGAGGGGGAACAACAACATGAAATAAAAACCAAGAGCATCTGCGAGTTCTGTTTCTGCCTCTGGGCGCGCTACAAGAACGTCCACTTTAAAGGGCTGCTTCCGTGCTTCTCGGTGACAAGGAGCTGAGGACGCAGCTGGTCACAGGAACCGAAAGGAGCACCGACACCCACTCAGCTTCTCCAGCCACCAAAGCCCTGGACAGACCTGCAAGGAAGCGCCGGGAGGCAGGTCAGCTTCAGCTTCCGGCTCGCAGCCGCCTGTGCTCCGGGTCAGGCTCGAGTGTCACCGGCAAGCAACTCTACACGTGAACACTGACGGTCAATAACAAGGCTCATGGCTGAAGCCAGTGGAAAGGATCTGGGTCCCGCCTTCCCGTCTCTGCTGATCGGAAGGCCCCTCCCTCTTGTGCTTGGCCCTGGAGAAGGCGGGCCCTGGAGGGCCCGGGCCCTCCCGCCACATCCCTGCCGAGACGGGCAAATCCACAGAACCCCACACCCGCTGCAGAGCCCCCAAGCTTCCAGGACAGCTTTTAAAACAGGGAGAACGTACAAACAGAGCCAAAATTAGTAGTCCAGTATTTCCACACACCACACACTCTTCAACCCCATTTAATGACTCAAAATTGGGGATACTCACGAGTTGGATGAACCAAAGCTGAATCCTGGAAAAGATGAAAAGGGTGAGGTTACAACACAGACACTTGAAGGACGAAGGTGGGCCCCAGGCCAAGCCCCTCCCTCCATTCCCCATGAAACAGCTTCCCAAGGGCTCCCCTCCTCCCCCGCCGGGGCAGGCAGAAAGTCTCTGGTCCGGCCCCTCACGCTCAGCCCTCCCGACCACACGGACCCATTTCACTAGGGAAGTTCTTCTCCTTTCCCACCCACTTGCTTCCTCCTCTCCCTGAGGCCAGACAAGCAGGCCCTGGGCTTCTAGGCCTGGATCTGCTGCTCACGCCTGGACCTTTGGGCAAGCTGGCCCCGTGGTGTTTGTCCTCATTTGTACAACAGTAACAAGGCCCAACCTCTGAGCCTCAGTGTGCCGCAAAGACAAAAACAAACCAGAAGCGCGGCTACCTGAGGAGCAGAGCCTGAAGTCTCTACGGGAGGGCTCTATGTCTTAGTTTTGGTTTGCTGGCTTGGATTTTTAAACCAAGATGAGTAAGATGACGATTATTGTGTGTTCTCAAGTCCTGAGAAATTTTGGTAAAAAATGGCACAGTGTTACAAGTCTAATTAAAATCTAAAGACATACTGTTCTCAAGCACTTTCAGCCTCTAAAATAGGGCACTGAACAGCCTGGTAAACATCATTCCTTCGACGAGGGAGGGGAAGAGGCAGGAGGAGCCTCTGTGAGGGGCTGTCTGCCTACCTCCGGTGCCTGATCCAAAGCCGGAAAACCCCCCGCTCTGGGTCCCGAACCCTGGGGTCTGCTGGGACAGCGACCCGAAGGTGGGTGCGTTCTGACTGGCGAGGGTGCCGAAGGACGTGGTGCTGCTGCTGCTTCCGAACCTGGGGGTGAGAAACCAGCGGGTCAGCGGGGCCAGGCTGCCCCTGTGGCCCGAGAGCCTCAGGCGGCCTCCCTCGTCTTAGGCTGTATGACGCACACGACTGAGGGGACGGGCTTGGTTTGAACCAGCAGCCAGAGCCCAGAGCAGACCACCCCAGCTGAGAAGAAAAAGGACCGGACAACGTGGACTCCAGCTTGTCCAGGGTGCCGCCTCGGTCCACCGTCTGGACACTCTAGGTCGCCTAGAAATTAAGCAGTGCTACATTTTTTTGCTCTTTCTGTCCCCCAATAATTCTTCAGTTTTATTCCACCATTTCAGCATCTCTCTCTTATCGACACTCCTGCCCCATTTATTCATCTGCTCTCTGGACCCTGACCGTCTACTTCTCACACTGAGGTGAGGTGTCGTCTACACGCAAGGCCAGCGTGAACCTATCCTTGTTGCCGTTTCCCCGCATGGTCCTGCAGGGCCTGCTCAATTCCACTCCCACCGTGGGCCTCTCACAAACAACACTGGGGACTCCTTGGATGTCTGTGGGGTCAGAGACCAGGGACCTGAACAGATTCACACTGGAATCTTGAGCTGGTCCTCATTAGCTCTGTTCCACCAATAGGACCTAAGCAGACAGCTGGGTGTCCTGTGGGAGGGCTATCCAAGGCAGGACATGGTACTTTGCTAAGTATCAAAGAAAACAGCTGGTTTCAAATAAGCCAACAAGCCCTCAAGATTCCCAGTCAGCACAAGCCTCCAGCGGCTGCAGGGCCCTGTGCTGGTGGACCGAGAGCTTGGGGCTGTAGGGCCCTGTGCTGGTAGAAAGGGGAGAGCTCGGGGCTGCAGGGCCCTGTGCTGGTGGACAGGGGAGAGCTCGGGGCTGCAGGGCTCTGTGTGGGTGGACAGGGGAGAGCTTGGGTCACCGGAACCTGCCCAGAACACTGGTGAAAGTCAGTCAGTTAAAAGCTGTCCTTAGCTTACATTGTTGGGGTTTCCTGGGGGAAACTTAAAGGACCCATTAGTCTCTTTGTGAAACCTGAGAAGCAACACACAGACTGGCTCACTTTCCCTGAAACTTGCCAACATTCTGCACCAGGTTCTTTGGTGGAGAGAGGGCAGGAGTAAGAACACAGTTTATTTCCAAGGTAGAGATGACATCACCACAGACTCATCCCCGGTGCCCTGACAATCCCCCCACTTCTGGCTTCCATGTCCTGAGCCAGTGCTGAGGGCAGGTGGCCTAAAAGACAGCCCCTTCAGACTCGGCACCTCGCTGAAAGAGGCACTCTGGTGTAATGACCACATGTTTTATTGGGATTTTATGGTACAGTGAAAGCTACTTTTTCCTTGGGGTTCTGGCAACCAGACTGAATTTCTGCAGCCTAGCATGGCGTTTTGAAGAGAAGGTGTGCACACGGCCGTAAGAGCAGCTTTGAGAGCTGAGTGGTCAATGAGACTCTCAATTGTACAGGGCCCAGTTAGCGTCTTGTGTGGATGCCAGCCCAGGGACCGGGGCCTGAATACTCTCTCCGGGGTTGGGCATGGAGGAGGGGACACAGGAGTGGCTTGCTCAGGGACAATGGTCTAACGCACAACAACCCAAGAGGAAAGAATCTGGGGAAAGCTGCTCAATCAGAATTTCCTGGCAGAAATGACCACACGAGGGGCAATCTTGGTTGTAAAGGAGCCACGGCAGGACTGTTTTTCTTCCTTTAACCAATTAGCCCAGAAGGAGAACAGGGGTCTGCTGACCAGTATCCTACACAGCAGGACGGTGACCCGGTTGCCGTCCCCTTATGTACTCGCCAGAGTCTGGCTTGGAAGAAATGAGCCTTCCTCCAGGAGTAGAGGAATCCTGGAGCCACTGTTTGCAGATTCTATGTGGGGGCACTCAGCTTATAGTCAAGAGCAGGGAAAACGCAAGAACCCCCTTTTCAAACCCAAAGTACCAGGCCCCAGCACTCCCCTCCCCAGGGGCTTACCCGAATCCTCCTGCGCTGGCAGCTGCAGTACCCTCTCCGAACACTTTGCCTCCCGTCGAGCCCAGAGGGCTTGTAAAGGCTGGGGCTGAACCGAATGCTGGCACCCCTCCAAACCCAGGGGATCCCCCAAAAGTAGGAGGGCTGCCAAACACTGGAGCAGCACCGAAGCCACCTGAGCAAAACAGAGGCAAACAAACAGAAACAGGGAGGAAGAGAGGAGGAGACAGGGAGAGAGAGAATGAGTAGTGAGAAACCAAGTCAGAGGAGGAAGAAAAAAAGGGAAAACACGTTAGAAATCCAAACCCGAAAAACTTAATGAAGGGCAACAACCCCACATCAGCAGCATGTGAATTAAATCCAAAGCACACACAGACACCAAGCTGCCCCCTCCCATTTGGGCAGAGCCGGGGGTCCCCTCGGGAGAGCCCCTCGGAATTCTAGGAACCTCACAGGCCCCGTATTTGTCTGTGGGGTCCCCGGTCCCTCCCAGAGGTAAGCTGGGCCCATCAGCTCCAGTCTTATCAGATCAGGTCGCCACCCAGGGCCAACTTGGGGCATTTCGGTCCCTTCCCGGGCCGGCCGCACTGTTTTGAGACTCCTCACTGTAAAATCATCCTCAAAAACTCCACTTCCTGCCCAGCTGTCAAAGACGACAGGCGCCTATTATTACCACCCCACAGGCAGGGCACCAGGATGCGCGGGAACCCACAGCACATGGGAAGCGCCAAGCCCCCTCGGGGAGAGCCTGTGAACTGGGTTACAGCGGGATGGGGAGCCGCTCGGCGCTGGCGCCCAGCCAGGGGCGTTTTATTTATTTAAACTAACGGCTCTCCCGTCTCTCACCACAGTCTTTTTCTCTCTCTCTGTCCCGAAGAATTTTTAAAAATGCTTTCTCCCTGCGGTCAGGCACTACTCCTCAATAAAAAAGCACACGGGTTTCTTCTCTGGAGGAAGGCTGCCGTACACATGTGAGCAAAGCGGTTACCAGCTGCGAGTCCAAGGCTCCTCGCAGGCTCCCGGCCCTACTGCTCAGGTGAACGCAGGCTGGCAGGGCAGCCACCGCACAGAAAGGGTCAGGTGTGCCCAAGCAGCCGGCTCTGCCTGCCTGAGATGCCCAGCGGGCTGGAAGATGACCGTCCTTCCCTGACTGCCCCTCTGCTCCTGAAGAGGGTCCCCAAACCTTGAGACACTGTTCAAGTCACTCTAGGCTACCAGCAGAGACCCTCGGAGTCTGTTGAATGAAATGAACAAAATAGTGTAAGAAACGTGCTCTAAGGCGGAGCATTTCTCAAGATGAGTGTTGGCCTAGGAGCTACGTGCTAAAGGGAACGAAGGCGGCTGAGGTGCGAGCAAGGCGCGACCAGCACGAGGGGACCAAGATGTTCTCTCGCCTCCTTCAGAAAGCGAAGGTAGAGTCGGCCAGGCGCGCTCATCAGGAGCGGGACCCAGCCCGCGCCACCTGCGCAGGGGGAGGGCGGGCAGCCGCGGTCCCAGGGAGCTGATTTCACGGTGGGTTATTCTGCAGGGCCGTCCGCAGGGCCTGCACAGCCGGGACACTGCTTGCTGCGGCTCATGCTGGGCTAACCCCGAGTGACATCCCAGGCCATGACAACGGGGACTGCTGGGTCACAGACATAATGGACTGGAAAAGAGAAAGTGCTAAAAGGCTGGCAGCTGAATTATTCACGACCGACCGCAGGTCTCATTACACTGTCTTCCTAGGCACTCGGGCTCGAGCTGGTGCCTGGTGCTGCACGTTAGTCTTCTGGGGGGAAGGTGAGTGAAAAGTGAGAAGCCACGACACAGAAGGTACCCGGGGCAGAGGAGAGGAGGCCTCACACTCCCCCCACATTCATTCACACACACACACTCACACACTCCCCCCGCACTCTCACCCCCCCACATTCATTCACACACACACACTCCCCCCGCACACTCTCACCCCCCCACATTCATTCACACACACACAC